GAGAGAGAGGGAGAGAGAGAGAGAGGGAGAGAAAGTGAGAGAGAGAGAGAGAGAGGGAGAGAGAGAGAGATGATGATGAAGAATAAGGGAATATGGAAGAGAAGATACAGATACAAAACGGAGTAGGGGGGAAAGGCAGAGAAGAGAGGAGAGACGAAGAGAGAGAAAGATCTACATTGCAAGGAGAGTGGGAGGTGGGGGGGGGGTAGAGTAAGGTAATAAAATCTACCCTCAAAGACGGTACGAAGGAGAATAAGGGAAGGAAAATAGAGAGGAGAGAGAAAGAGAGAAGGAGAAGGGTGGAGGGTGTAAACAGGTGCAGAATATATTACGCGACGACAAATTGTGAAGAGGATGGACGATGGGTGAAGGAGAGGAGGGGGGAGGAGGGAGGAGGGAGGAGTGAGGGAGGAGGGAGGAGGGAGGGGAGGGAGGAAGGAGGGAGGTGAATGGACCACCAACGCGTATCCTTCGCAGTGATTAAACTAATGATATTTAATTATTCATGTCTATATTCATCCATCTATTTCTCTTAATGTTGTTATATCTTCATTATTCCCAATATACACACTTCCATTTGTGTGATATGTTACACAGCAATGTAAACTAAACATAACCTTCTATATTTTACATGATGTAACATACCACACTAAAGGGCAGTGTGTATAATATAATCACATAATTATTACAATATACGTACAACAATACTGGCATCGCAATCCGTATGCAATGGCACCACAACATGGCACTCACAACTCACATCATTATCATAAATCACTTCATCATCACAACCCACAATCACTATTACATTATAGCATTAGATTAACTCTATTGTAATAATTTTTCTTTAATATGAATACTATATCACCATCAACTGTATCGTCACTTTATCGTTAACCATTGTTATTGTCACTACTATTAAAACCGTCATTGGTATTATTGCTATGTCTGCTGTTATCATAATTACTCTCTTCACTCCTGTTTGCTATTATTGTTGTCCTTTCTCGCTTCATTAGTAATATTATCATCATTATCTTCATTATGTTTATCATTATCATTACAATTATTATTATCATTATTATTATTATTATTATTATGATTATTATCATTATTATTTTTATTATCATTATTATTATTATTATTATTATTATTATTATTATTATTATTATTATTATTATTATTATAATCATTATAATTGTTATTATCATTAACAGTAGTAGCAGTAATAGTAGTGGTGGTAATAACTATGGTAATTGTACAGTAGTAGTAGCAGTAGCAGGCTAGTAGTAGTAGAAGTCACAGTAGTAGAAGGAGATTTATTAGTAGTAAGAATAGTAGTAGTAGTAGTAGTAATAGTAGTAGTCGTAGTCGCTGTTGTTGTTGTTGTCGTTACTTTAGTTCATATCATTATAGATAAACAGCCTATTACCTAAAAACACAAACCGCGAGATGATATTACTCTGGAACTGTTAATTAGGCTACCTGCATTCTGAACAGGTGAACCGATAATCAATTGCATAGTCAACACCTCGTCAATACATTCCCTTGAGAACTAAGCATGAAAGACGCCTTTGAGAGCGGACGAATTTGTATATATATTCAATTAACTATCAAAACACAAAGGTGTTGCCAATAATTCGCCCTTGATATCAAAGGAAGTTTAGTCAAGCGAACGTCTGTACAGAGAGCGCGAGAGTGACACAGTTCGTAACAGATTTATGATCACTTGAGCGAGAGATTCATTGATTCTTGGTTCCCGCTTGAGTGAGAAACTTTCCTTGTGCGTGCACCGGCTTGATATTTGCCGCTTGCTTTATCGCTTAAGAAAATATCTCGCTTGCACTTATCTTGCGCAACTTCATTTTCGCGGCCATTTTATGACTGTTTTTTTCCTAAGGGGAGGTTAAAAATATCCGCTTACAGGTGAGAAGGAGAGAGAAAGATGGAATTGGTATGGACGATAAAAGAGGTAGATAAAAGAGGAATGAGATAAAAAAAAAAAAAAAAAAGGAGAAAGAGAAGGAAATTTTGTAGGAAAAATGTCTGCAGACACCTTCAAGCATAACCCAATTATAAATACGTAAATAGGAAGCAGTGAAATAGAAAAATCAGAGAGGAAAAAAAAACAAGTAGATGACCAAGTTAAATGAAAGAAGGAAAAAAAGCATAAATAATTGAGTGAACGTATATGGACGCGCAGACCTTATAAACAAACGAAACACAAACAAACACTCCCTTCTCGACGCCGTCAAGTACCTAAGCGCAAGCGAGTAAGCAAACAGGCAGGCAAACAAGCAGGCAGGCAGATACAGGCAGGCAGGCAGGCAGGTACAGACAGGCAGGCAGGCAAGCAGGCAGATACAGACAGGCAGGCAGGCAGGTACAGACAGGAAGGCAGGCAAGCAGACAGGCAACCAGATACACAAAAAAGCAGGCAAGCAGATACACAGACAGGCAGGCAAGCAGAAAGACAACCAGATACACAGAAAGGCAGGCAAGCAGATACACAGACAGTCAGGCAAGCAAATACAGACAGGCAGGCATGCAGATACAGACAGGCAGGCAAACAAATACAGAGACAGGCAAGCAGTTACGCAGACAGGCAAGTAAGCAGATACACAGGCAGAGAGACAGGCAAGCGGGCAGGCAAGCAGGCAAGTAGGCAAGCAAGCACATACGCAGACAGGCACACAGACATACACGATTAAACGCAGAGGGACACGCCGTCAGATAAATAAAGTAGCCTATCAAGCAGGAAGTCCAAGCTAGAATGACATATCTGCTGGCCATCACCAAGCAGAGATGTGGATGGCCAGCAGACAATCAGACAGGTGAACAAGCAAGCAGATGAGCAGGGGGTCAGACGTGCATTCAGGCAAGGAAGCAAATATGCTGAAATAGATAATATGAGGATATATGAAATAGACAATATGAAATATATCTGAAAATATGTATGAAAAGATGATGTGAGATATCTATGAGAGTGTTCGAAGCTATCATGATGTACGGAATAACAAACAAAAAGAAAACAGGAGAGACAAAGAAGCGAGCAAACTACAAACAAATGGCGGAGTTAGAGAGTTTATCAAGCAAGGAAGGGAAACTCGGCCGATCCTGTAAGAGCGAAAAAGGAAAATCAAGCGAAATGGCAAACGATTTTTTAAAACGGTAGTTAAGAACGAGTTCGCTCATTTAGACAATCAGCGATTAAGCAAAGGCGGTACTGACTGGTTTGCAAAAAAAAAGAAAAAAAAAAGTATATTTATATATATATGTGTGTGTGTGTGTGTGTGTGTGTGTGTGTGTTTGCAATTTGTGACTTCCTGCAAAAGACTTTCACAAGGCGGCTTTCCATAAAAAAAAAAAAACTTGAATCAAATGACTTCTTATGCAGGTGACTATCTCGCAACATACGTATAAAAGTGATTCCCTAACAGAATATTTGTCTCACTCCTTATAATAGGCGACTTCCTATGACAAGTTCGTAACAGGTGACTTGAAAAGTCGATCCCTCTACCCCCCCCCCCCCCGCGTGCAGAGCCAAGCCGGATGCGCCCCTTTTAGCCAAAGTAGTTAAAGAGTTCGAGTTAACGGGGTCATCGCAGGTCATACTACCGAGGTCAAAAGGTTGGCGGCGCTGGGAAGCTTATTGCAGAGTGCCCGTTGATTGAGCCAAGGTTGCTCTCCGGCCATCCCTCTCTCTCTCGTTTTCTCTCTCTCTCTCTCTCTCTCTCTCTCTCTCTCTCTCTCTCTCTCACCTTCTCTCTCTCTCTCTCTCTCTCTCTCTCTCTCTCTCTCTCTCTCTCTCTCTCTCTCTCTCGCTTTCTCTCACCTTCTCTCTCTCTCTCTCTCTCTCTCTCTCTCTCTCTCTCTCTCTCTCTCGCTTTCTCTCACCTCTCTCTCTCTCTCTCTCTCTCTCTCTCTCTCTCTCTCTCTCTCTCTCTCTCTCTCTCTCTCTCTGTCTCGCTTTCTCTCACCTCTCTCTCTCTCTCTCTCTCTCTCTCTCTCTCTCTCTCTCTCTCTCTCTCTCTCTCTCTCTCTCTCTCTCGCTTTCTCTCTCTCTCTCTTCTCTCTCTCTCTCTCTCTCTCGCTTTCTCTCTCTCTCTCTCTCTCTCTCTCTCTCTCTCTCTCTCTCTCTCTCTCTCTCTCTCTCTCTCTCTCTCTCGCTTTCTCTCACCTTCTCTCTCTCTCTCTCTCTCTCTCTCTCTCGCTTTCTCTCACCTCTCTCTCTCTTACTCTCTCTCTCGCTTTCTCTCACCTCTCTCTCTCTTACTCTCTCTCTCGCTTTCTCTCTCTCTCTCTCTCTCTCTCTCTCTCTCTCTCTCGCTTTCTCTCACCTTCTCTCTCTCTCTCTCTCTCTCTCGCTTTCTCTCACCTCTCTCTCTCTCTCTTACTCTCTCTCTCGCTTTCTCTCACCTTCTCTCTCTCTCTCTCACTCTCTCGCTTTCTCTCACCTTCTCTCTCTCTCTCTCTCTCTTTCTCTCTCTCTCTCCCTCCCTCTCTCACTATCTGCCTATCTATCTATCTATCTTTCTCGCAGTCTATCCCTTACGTTCCAATTACTTTATCTTATCTTTGTGCTTCTGTTTCCACCTTTCTCCCTTTCTATGTATGAACTTTTTTTTTCTTTTTTTTTTAAGCTGAAAAATCAAGATTACTACCCCCCCCCCCCCCCGCCAACAACCATTACGAGCTGAAACCAAACCATTACGCGGAACGACCTACCTTCCTCGACCATTTCCCTCCCGTTGCACAGGGACAGAACCAACAACAACCTTAATAATGATAATGATTTAATAATAATACTAATAATAATGACAATAATAATAACCTTAGTGAAAATAGCAGTAATGATCTAATAATGATTTTAATAATAATATTAACAATAACCTTAATACTAATAATAATTTAATACTAATAATAATTTAATAATAACCAATAACAAAAAAAGGCCTCAATTTTGACACTTACTGACCCTGTTATCTCCCCCCCCCCCCCAG